AAGTATTTATTATATATGCAATTAATATTGAAACAAGAAACAATTAATAATTAATAATTAATATTATTATTATGTATATAAATATAAAAAAACACAAAACAAAGAATAATAATCAGGAAAGAAATGATTGAAAAATGTATAAGTAATTTTGATGTTAAATTTGTTTTCATTTACAGAACGATTCGTTTTTCGTCGTGGCACGTTTCGATTTAAACAAAACTAAAACAGAATTGTTAATAGCTATCATCGTACCATCGGGACTATTCGTTATCAGTTTGACAACCTTGATCGTGATAACACGTTCAGTGCAAGTCGGTGACGACGCAAAGATGCGATGTAGATATTGCACGGAGAAAAATGAGGACGAGGGCGAGGACGAAGGGTTGGTCGAAGGTACTACACCCACTACTACTCCTTTAGATCATACCAATGAAAATGAGATCAGAAGTATGGCACTTTAGCAGTTTAAACCACTCGGTATGAGCAATTTCATGAAATACGAAAGATTGCCATTGATTGACACAGATGAAGCAGAGGATTCCTTTTAAAAAAAAAAACTAAATCAAATCTAATAATAATAATAATAATAATATAAAGAAATCACGACGAAACATCGAAATACGTTCAGGTGTTAACATACAATAAAATATTTATTATTTTATACACACGAGAAGAAAGAAATATGTGTGAAATTATTTTATGTTAAATGAGAGAATAATAATTTATTTGTTTAAAAAAAAGAAATTGTCTTCCTGTTGCAAATTAATGAAAGAAAATTGATATATTTATTATTATTTCAACAAAATTCAATCAAAAATATTTAATACTAACACATGAACATACCCAAATATATATATATATATATGTATATATATAGGGGCCAAACTATATTAAACATATATATATAAAATTATTAATTATTAATTGTATATTTCTATACCAGTGTATTTATTATAAGAGATGTTTATTATAATAGTTAGATCACTGTTGCCTTCGATGTAATATATTCCTAACTATAGCGTATAAAAACCGATCTGACATTTTCTAAAAGTTTAAGGAAACCCCATACTGCTGTCATTTCTATCGATTATTATAGAGATAAAATAAAAAAAGAAAAAAGGAAAAAAAAAGATAAGAGAAAAATAGGGGGAGGATTGAAACGGAAGAGACAAATTTACATGATCGCCCTTTTTTTCGAGGATAAAGCTTTCCGTGTGTGTGTATCTATGTACAAAAGTAGTTTTATAGTAAGGGGAAAATCTGTATACGTAATATATATATACATATATATATATTATATACGAAATAAAGGACGTTTTACGAAGACTTTTTTTTCAACATTCTAAACGTCAACGAAAAAACGTAAATAAAAATAAAAATTATTGACCACACATACTAATCAAACGAATTCTTATTTGTACGAGAATTATCTTAAATATAAGGCTTTTATTACCACGTCTGTGTATTATACATGTATATGACTTTAGTATGTCACCTCGACAGCTACAACTGCCTTTGTGTGTGAAATGAGAAAAAAAAAGTGCAAATACTCTAATTAAGCAAAAGTAAAAAACAAGGAAAATAAAACGAAATGATTAACAGTATAGAAGACAAATTTTTTCTATAACGATTTAATCGAATTATATATATATTCTTCTTATATATTATTATTATTATTATTACATATTACATGGAGAAATTAACGAAGAAAATAATCGATTTTTTTAAGTGTTGTTTCATAATAAAATCATACGATTTCGTATTGGGGTTATTTTTTGTTATTCGTAATCGAATTATTTAAAAATTTATATATATTAGGAATGGAAATATTTTTGTTTAAAAAAAAATGATGATCTTTAATTATTATTATACGTGTAATTTAAATATCGAATTAGAAAAGGGTATTATCTATGTCAAGCTTTTATGTTTTACATTATTCTAACAAACACGCTAGTCATCATCACGATTGTTCAATTATATAATTATTATCTACCGATAAGATGTATGATAGGTGGTATATAACATATTATATAAATAATATGTGTATAAAGTACTTCGTTGAATTTCTTCCGTGCTATTAGAGCATACAAAAGGTAATTTAAAAAAAAAAAAGAAAATGAAACTAAAAGAGGAAAAAGTTATTCTTCTTCTTTTTCTTCTTCTACGAGTATTCTATACGTTTTATTATTATTATTAATTAAAAAAAAAAACAAAAACAAAAATATAAAATTAATTATCGATCTATACGCGAATATAATAATAATAATAATAATAATAATAATTCACTTTTAATCTATGTGCCTTCTCTTCCGTTTTAAATGCTTCATCGTAAGACAACATTTGTCTTGTCTCATTTTTATTTGAAAAATAAAATCTACGAAAAGAAATACGTGATCGTTACCTGTTATAATAATACAAATAATAATTGTTCTGAGAAAGTATTCGTAATAATAGTGCAGAGTGTTATTTCAATATTTTATGTGTTTTATATATATATATGATAATGATGATGAATCTGTAATAAATGTATATCGAGAAACAAACAAAAAATGACAAATTGCATTCTTGCATTCTTCTTTTATGTTGTCTCGTTTTTTTTCTAAAAAAAATAAAATAAAAAAAAAGAGGAAGAAGAAAATAAATTTTATGTCAACCTATCGTATTTTCTTTTATCTTTATTTTTTCATCTCTCTCTATATATATATATATATACATGTGTGTGTGTACTTTGTAAACACGAAGGAAGAGACCAACCGACCAAAACCCAAACGAAATTAAGTTCGTCCTGTTAAAAGAAGCAAATCGATATACGTGACTGCACGTTTCCACCCCCGAAAAGTGGTAAAATAAGATGAAGAAAAAGAAGGGGGAAAAAAACCATAAAAAAACATGCGCGATAGGCCTACGCACACCCACACCCACACTTTCCACGGAATCCCAACGTGGCAACGAAAAGGACAACGTTTGAAAAAAAAAGAAAATTGAGAAAAAGAAATAAAAATGCGTTTGCTTTTATATATTCGATGTATTTTGATTTCTATAAAAACGAAAAAAAGAAAATAAGAGACAGAATAAAAATTAAAGAAAATAAACTACGATCGAGAGGAATAAAAATTTGTTTTATTTTTTTCTTTTTTCGTTCATTAGTTTATTTTCTCTTCTCTGATTATTTTTTCTTTCATCAGAGATTAGAAGAGAAACGAAACGAGAGAGAGAGAGAGAGGAATTAATCCCACGATGCATTTTGAAAGATTTATTTTAATAGAAGTAAATTTTACTTTTAAAAAAGTATATTATTATTATTTTTATATGTTATAACGTAAACGAAAAATAATATTATTTTTATCTTTCAAGATATATATATATATATATAAGAGAGACCTCTTCTTTTATTCTTGAATTTCGTGATAAGCTCGTAGAAACGATATTACGTAAATACTCGCGTGTCTTGATGTACTAAAAAGCTACTCCAATAATCTTCAAATACAATCTACGAGATGCGCACATGCTAGTAAGAGAAAATTACTATTTTTTTCTTTGTTTTTTTTTTTTTTTTAGAATAATCTAATTCATTACATGCCTATTTTTAAATTGAAATAAAAATATCTTTCATTTTTCATTTTATTTTATACAAATAAAAATATAATTAACTCAACGTTATATATTCGATTCAATATTTAATTAATCAAATTTATATTTCTATTCTTTTTTTTGACAATAAAAAAGAAAAGATAAAACACACACACACAAAAAAAGAATATCATCGTTCATTATAAATGTATAATATACAAAGAAAACAATAAGTCTATTAATTAAAACCTGAGGTTCTATTATCTAACAACAAGTTAACGATTATCCTTCAGTGCATAATTACGTTGAAGGATACAACGTAATTAAGCGAAACGAATCGATAGTATTTCGATTCTAATTAACGGTTAATTAAAATTCTAATGTTAACGTTAAAACGAAATTATAATATATCGATGGGGACAAAACAAAAGATTATTCTTTTTATCCGCAAAAAAAAATAAAAGAATCATTATATTATCTTTTACTTTCTTCTTTTTTGATACCATAGATAAATTACATTTTCAAAGTATTCGCAGTTTATCGATGTATAATAATAATAATAACACGTATGACAACGAGCAGACAGGGAGTGAGTGGAGGGTCTGGGGGTGTTGGTTTTATGGGGAAAACTTTTACGAGAAAATCACGTGGATATCGAAAGATATATTATTTTTTTCTTTTTGGTGTTTATTTTTACAAAACCCATGGACACGAAGTCGAAAAGATAATCGTCAATGTAAAAAGAAACGAAAGTTTATATTTAAACAATTGAATTCTTTAAATGTGCAAAACTTTAAACGCATTTATAAACATTTTTCAAATGAAAAATTGTCATTATTATTATTTTCTTGGTTTAAAAAATGAAACGTTGACGTTTATAATTGACATCGTGATCGTTATCGAGTTTGTTTTATTGTTTTATCGATTTAAAATATAAAATTAAAAATTGTGAAATAAATGAATACGCTTATATAGTCATTAACATGTTGTAAATGTGGGTCGAGGCCGAGTGTGTCCTGTCAATTGCATTTCTCCGAGAGAGAGAGAGAGAAAGAGAGAGAAAAAGGGGTGAGAAAAGGAGATGATGGGAAGGGGGACGAGGGGATGGGGAAACATAAATACATCGAAATATCGATGGGTCGTTTGTTAATATGACAATTGCAGATAACACTACGAAAATCCCTATAAATCTCTTGAAAATGAAATCAAATATATTAAATATAATATAATCATATTATTTTTCATTAGATTTATTTTTTATCTTCATTTACCTAGAATTACAAGTATTTAGAAATTTATTACGAGAATGACAATTAATTATCCGATATAATTTATTATTATTTATGAAATATCGAAGATTACTTAGAATGTTATTCATTTGAAATAAAAAATTGAGAATATTTTGTTTTTTTTTTTATATCGATTCAATAATAATTTTCATAATATAAAAAAAATTACGTAATTTAAAACAATCGATAGATTTGAAATGAATTATCACGTTAATAACATTTTAATTCAATAATAATATTCATGAGACAAATAATAAAAGATAAAGTGTTATCTTTTTTTTCGAGATGTAATAAATTAATGAAATTGTTTAGGACTTTCGTAAAGTTATTGTTAATGTACTAAACAAGTCTTATGGTGTCGTAAAGTAACTCGAAGTTAGTTCTCTTCTCTTCTCTCTCTCTCTCTCTCTCTCTTTCTCTTTGATCAATATCGTAACACCATTACTTTCTGTTATAGATCGTACCAACTAGACTAACACTATAACATCTGCTTTGTATACAGTCAACGAACTAGCCTGTCTCTACGTCACCAAAAGAGGGAGAAAGAGAGAGAGAGAGAGAGAAGGGGTTTGTACTTCGAGCAAAGTTCCACCCTTTAATTAGTTGATTTCTCATACTCTACGTGGTTCCCATAAAATATAATACCCAGAGGAGAGATTCTCGCAAAGAAGAGAACTTATTTGGTCGTAACTCGTTAAAGGGGGGGAAAAAAAAAAGTTCATAGTTACATTTTAATAATTTATATATGAGTTTTAAAACAACGAGAAAAAAAATAATCAAATGAACATTTATTTTCTATATATATATATATAACGGTATATTATTGTATTAAATAAAGTTTTATCTCA